ACTAAATACACAGTAATGTTGAGGATTCTTAATCAGAGACAATGCCATTTTACTGTGTACTAGTTACAAAACAGATCAATGTTCTTGATTCCTTCTCTGGTTCCCCGGAAACCAGGGTCCCTGTAGAGCAGTGGTCCCCAACCCAGTCCTCATGGACCACCAACAGTCCAGGTTTTGTCAGTATCTTCTTTTAAATAAAAATGGGAAATGCATAAATCCTGGACTGTTGGTGGTGAATGAGGACTGGGTTGGGGACCACTGCATCATAGAGAACACTGTAACTTTTTAAACATTCCATGGGTACTTTACCAAATGGTAATCTGGTATTTCATAATATGAGTATTAACACTCTCTTTGTTTTGTTAAATTTCAATATTTCAGGGGAAAACTGTTGGTACCAATTGCATGTCAGGAGTCATTCCTCTTACTGGTTCCCCAAGAGCCTCAGATCTTGGACTAGTGGAAAATAATTGATAATATTTAGCATAATGTAAGCTAATAAAATGGTTTTCACTCGTATTTCCCTTGCATCTACACAGTCACTGTATTCATAGATGAAAAGGAATTGATTATGAAATGTATGGCAAAATGCCCATAAGTGTTTTTACCTGAATCCTAAAACCTGTTATCTTCAGGGGGTGGAATGTTGAGGAACTAAATAAAAGGACACTATAGGCGCATAGACCACTTAGGATTTAATTAGACCAAAAAATGTAATTATGGCTATGTTGCACTTTGCCCTTATAGTTCTTGGTTTAACCTTTAATTATTGATTTAATCAAATCACTAATTAAAGAGACACTATAGGCACCCAGACCACTTCAGCTCATTCAAGTGGCCTTAAACCTGAGCAGTTAATTATTGCAGTTTTTAATAAACTGCAATAATTACCTGCTAGGGTTAACTCCTCCTCTTGTGGCTGTATATATGACAGCCACTAGAAGGACTTCCGGGTGCTTAGACGGCTTTTGGTTCCCTAATGGACACTGGGCGTCCTCATGCTTAGCATCACCGGAAACCCCACATAAAAGCATTGAATAATAAATTGCATGCACACTTGGTCTCCCACAATGGCTGAAGTCGGCAGGGGAGGAGTGAAGACTGATCCGAGCCAGCACTAAGGTTTTTTTAACCCCTTCTGCAGCATGGGGGAGGGGCCTTGACGGAGGGGGAAGCTATAGTGCCAGGAAAACTAGTTTGTTTTCCTGGCACTATAGTTGCCCTTCAAAGTAGGGTTTGTTGACAATGAAAAAGAGGATACATAACCATGACAACCTCAAATTTTGAAAGGGAACTGCCACCTAAATTGCACATTTAACAATAAAAAAAAAAAATCACTTATATTTTTATTAATCTTTATTTTGTGCACAATTTTCTTTTAAATATGTATTATAAATTTTGCAAACAATGTCATAATCCAGTAAAGACAATGCGAAGCTAGGGCAAATATTGCACATGAAGAGGCGAATTTTGAAATATGTTTAATTTCTCCTATTCCTGCTTTCTCTGTGCTGACTGCCAGTCGCAAAGGACAGAACTCATAGCAATGATGACTGACAGGGATTTAAAATGGAAGCGCCCAGGTGCAGGATAAAGCGGTGTACATATCTACATTCACACCTGAAATGTCATAAAAATATTAATGAGTAAACATAAAATTAAATATTTTGGTAAGTGAAAATCCCCCTTCCAAGTAAATGTGACATTTATTAGCTGCTAATGAAGATAAAAGAAAGAAAAGTAGGTGTGCCTCGGAATTTTATCTTTCATTTAAGTTCACCTTGGTCCCAAAAAAGGGCCTCAGTTGGCTCACAATGGCAACTGTTGCTCTTTAGCCTTTATTGATCTGGAAAGATAAATTAATGTCTATATACACTTCACTAACAAGGTGATCACCAGAAGGCATGCACTTAAAATATTTTTTCCATAGTGCCATCAACAGTCCGTCTAAGCTATCCAATGTGTAGAGGTGAGGATTGAGTAGATACAAGCCTTTGGTGGTATCCAACATCTTGCACTGCTGCAGCACCGCTGAAGCCAAGCTTATTGTGGCCAGGATAAATGAGGAAGACACTCTGTACCAGTAGAGTGAATGCCTCTCACACCCGGGTTTATCAGGTAGGCTGCAGTTCCGTTGAGTATAAGGGCAACTCACTAGCTCTAGTTCTGCCCTGTAATGTCCTAGATAGGCACAGACAAGGTTTGCCTGACTTAATCTCTGTCAGTGGGTTCCAAACTGCAAAAATCATGAATTGCTTGAGAAGCTACAGTGGAATATGTCTGGTCAGCATGGCGTCAAGTTCCATCCTACAAAATTGCATTTTTACTTGTAAGATATTACTTGTCTGATATTAGAAATAAATATTACATCTATGGCATTATAAATATAATAAATGGCAAAAAGGGACTTTTCATTATGATTTTCTTTACTGATACCAGGGATATACACACACACTTGACTATTCTCTTTAATGTGTATTTTAAAATTATGCAGCTTCAAAAACTCTAGTTTCTGAAAATGATTTGTTGGAAAAGTATCTAGTCAGTACGTAATTTCAGTGATGCATAATGTAGGTGGGGTTTATGCAAGCACATCTATTGAAGAAAAAATATATTTTTACAGTCCTAATGAAATTAATTGTAATGCCACCATAAATGCACGGATATCCTAAGTAGATTTAAACTCACATGTTTATAGGATAAAAGAGAAGGGTGCAAAAAAAGGTTAGAAAACTGCTAAGAAATTGGATAGATTACTATATGATGAGTCAAGTTTGAAACTATTCTAGCCCAAATCCTCCTAAACGTTAAGTGTTACTCCAAGCAAAAAGAACAAGATGAAAGAGAGTACTGAAAACAGTCAACAGCTCAAGTAACCTACCCTTCAGTGGGTCCCTGCTTAGATCTTGTGCTATTACAAAAATAACCAAGTCCATTTGCATATCAGACTAATCCCACCATAAGGATGGTCCAGATCTGAAATGCAGGCAATCTCTCTCTGCATGAGAGATACAGCAACATCAAAGCCAATATACCTCTAGGCACCATTAGCAAGGGGTCCACATTAGGATGCAATGAGTCCTATAACTTGTCATGTAGCAATTAAATAAAAGCAGCAGCTTTAGCCTTAAGATTGTGAATTGTAGCCATGAGATAGCACCTTTGAACTGTTTCAGATATGATACAATACTCTAGGTCAGGCATAGGCAATCTTCGGCACTCCAGATGTTTTGGACTACACCCAGGGCCGGATTGGCCGACTGGGATACCGGGAAATTTCCCGGTGGGCCACGGCACTTGGGGGGCTGCAGATAGAGAGGGAGCCCTGCTCCATATATTTTAATAATATCGCGGCCACATGTCGGTGCCGCCAGGTGGCCGGTCCGGCGGCACACTCTGAGGGGGTTATACTTACCTTGAAGCCGGCAGCCCCATCTTCCGTGCTGTATGACTTATGTCAGTATCAGCGAGTGTGCCGGGCGTCCGCCTAACCGGTCCAGTAGCACACTCACTGATACTGACAGCAGCACAGCTGTCAGCACAGGAGGACTGAGAGAGGGGGCAGAGCTAACTGCCATGCTCCCTCGCGGTTCCATAATTCCCAGCACAGTCACATCATAGAGTAGGGATTACTCTATGATGTGGCTGTGCTGGGAATTATGGGAGCCGCGAGGGAGCATGGTAGTTAGCTCTGCCCCCTCCCTCAGTCCTCCTGTAAAAAGGTCAGCAGACAGCAGGGACACAGAAACAAAGGGGACAGGGGAAGGGGGGGGACAAATAGAGGGGTAATAGAGAGACACAGGGGGTGGGGGACAAAGAGAGGTAATAGTGAGACACAGGGAAGGGGACAAAGAGAGGGGTAATAGTGAGACACAGGGATGGGGGACAAAGAGAGGGGTAATAGTGAGACACAGGGGATGGATGGGACAAAGAGAGGGGCATGGAGACACGGGAAGGGGACAAAGAGAGGGGTAATGGAGAGTCACAGGAAGGGGCAAAGAGAGGGGTAAGAGAGAGACACAGGGAAGGGGACAAAGAGAGGGGTAATAGAGAGACACAGTGAAGGGGGACAAAGAGAGGTAATAGTGAGACACAGGAATGGGGACAAAGAGAGGGTAATGGGGAGACACAGGAATGGGGCAAAGAGAGGGTAATGGGGAGACACAGGGGAAGGGGGGACAAATAGAGGGGTAATAGAGACAGGGGACACAGAGACAGATGGGATAATAGACAAAGAGACAAAGGGGTAATAGAGAGACACATGGGATGGGGGACAAAAGAGAGTAATAGAGAGACACAGGGGAGCAGGGGACACAGAGACATATGGGGTAATAGAGAAACACCAGGGAAGGGGGGACAAAGAGACAGAAGGGTAAGAGAGAGACACAGGGAGGAGATGGGGAAGGGAGACACAGGGAGGAGAGGGGAGAAAGAGACATACAGAACATTTGTTGGGGGGACAAAGAGACATACAGAAGGGAAGGGGAACAAAGTGACACACAGGATTTGTGGGAGGCAACGCTGAGCTGGAGGAAAAAGAGACACAGAGTGGCTGGGAGAAGAGAAAGAGGCACACAGAGTCTGGAGTTAGAAAGAGACACACAGAGGAGATTTGGAAGGTGAGAAAGAGACAAAGGGGCTTGGGCTAAGACACAAAAGGGGCTGGGGGAAAGAGACATACAGAGGCTGGAGAAGGGTAAAAAGAAACACACAGGGGCTGGGATGAAGCAAAAGATACAAAAGGGTCGCTGTAAGAGACAAAAAGGAGACAATTGGAGACAAGATAGACTAAACGAGGTAAACGTAATAGACGTAATTGATGTGATCCTGACAGTAATACACAGATACATATATGCATGTATATTGATGTGTGTATTAGTAACATATATAATGCCTATAATATATACACATATAGTAATATACATTTATTTATGCATAATACACACATAAATGTCATTAATTTAAATATAAATATATATATATATATATAAAACACAAGATCCAGCGCACTCACCTATCCACTAAACGGCAACTTCAATGTTGAAAGATTTTATTAGTTTTTTTAAAAAACACCTAATCTAGGCAAAAATAATAATAATAATAACCCCCATTATTTTTGCCTAGATTAGGTGTTTTTTAAAAAAAAACTAATAAAATCTTTCAACATTGAAGTTGCCGTTTAGTGGATAGGTGAGTGCGCTGGATCTTGTGTTTTGTATTATTTGGCCCCCAGCAGCACCCCCATTTATGCATGTTCAGGTGAGTGCAGCCAACCCCCCCTTGTTTCATATATATATATATATATATATATATATATATTTGTAGTCGGGGCAATACCAATATAACAGAGAAATCTTAGCATACAATCACAACATCCATAAGTTAGCACCAGCCGGTTGTGGTGTGCCGGAACCGACAAAGCAGTAGGCCTGTAATAAAAGTGGGCCCACCTTAGAGGGTGTTATAAATAGAGGGAGTGGTGGGAGGGTTGACTCGTCAGACCAGCAACGGTAAGGTGGGAGTGGATTGGCAGCCCTTTTAAAGGGGAACCAAGCCCCTCCCACAACTACAGGCCAAGCCTTCAAATTTGTAGTCGGGGCAATATGGCCGAACAGAGAAATCTTAGCATAATATAATCATAACATCCATAAGTTAGAACCAGTCGGTTGTGGTGTGCCGGAACCGACAAAGCAGTAGGCCTGTAATAAAAGTGGGCAAAAGAAAATTACCAGGAAGCATAATTAGTGAACCAATTTAGTTTATTGAGATAAGTCATGTTAAGAAATGTTTAGTTAAGCTTCCCCCTTCACAATCTTACTATCTCCGTTCGCATATACTGCTGTGTACGAACCACCATCAGGGGAAGCGGCAATATCCCGAACGGGATCCGTAAGAGGGCGTCAAACTCCCGAACATTAATCCACGAATCGTCGCTAGCCGCCGAACAAGTATATCCACCAAGCGGCTTTCGGCTCCATCAATCAGTCTCTAGTCGTCGGTAATAAATCCCCCCAATAACGAGACCAAGCTCCGCATTGAGGGTAAAGCAAGATCTGGCTTTACTGTGGGCTACCTGCCCGTATTTATGCAGGTCTCCCACTTGGTGGACACTCGCCTAGGGGACCAAATGGGAGACTGTAATGACAGATAGACATATGGCCATTTCAGACATACAGGCACAAACTTTTCCCACAATGCAGCATGGTTTCCTCCCCTCTGCCCTGGAGATAATTGAGAAGTAATTCAATTATCTCCAGGACAAAGACAAATCGCCATTTTAAGTAAAACACCAGAAAACACATAAAAATAAATAATTACACAGCTACCGAACATTTTACATTCGTATAACGTATCCTCAGATAGCCTGGATCTGAGGGCATATTATTAGTGAATAGCGCTCAGATCCCATACGCATAGTTCAATCGCCATGGAGTCAAAGTCCTTACAATCTTTCGGTATGCGATTGACTCCATGGGAAGGCTATCTGGGTTAAGTCTCTTCATGTAATCCAAAACTCCCGAACGGCCGGTGTTCGCATGCTTTCGTTGACGGAGAAGGGTGACCTGTTGTTTCAGCGGTGTTCGGCAGAAAAAGTGTCCGTTTTTAGTTCCATGAAATCAATGCCGAACACCGCTGGTCTTTCGTGTGATTAAAATGGCCGCTGCCTCGTGGTCGATATTTGGTTATAATTAAGAAGTGTCTGCGGTTAACCACAACGTTCTAATTGGGATCAAGAGGTTAACCAGCAGCAGTCTTCTATTCTGGGTGGCCGTCCGTTCGGTAGATTTGTTCGGTAAAAAGTCAATCATACGCATGGGCTATAGAAACAGGCAATTTCCACGAAAGGAAGGCAAACTAGACGAATCCACAAATAATAGTCATACAGATGGGTCTGTCACAAGTCACAAAAAGCTTGTCTTAATTCTTTAATGGGATTAGGTATGTAGAGTATGTAGGCGGAGGATTTCCAGCGTCCCATAGCCTTAATAATATGAGCGGGTACGTGGTTAGCGGATGGGGAAGATGCTGCTCCTATACGGAAAGAGTGACCTGAAAATTGATTGGGGTTTAGGCCGAGCCTGGTCAACAGTGGTCGTATGTATAGCATGAATTTAGCTGTGGTCAGAGTGTGTCCATGCAGTTCAAACAAAGGCTGTTGGGCTTGTTTTTGGACTGAAAGGGAATAAGTATCCAAAAATTTTACTGGGCACCATATATTGTGAGTAGGGTACAGAGGAATTTGAGTAGTGTGTTCTTCGGTGCTGGTTTTTGATATTCTTAGGGAGAGAATGTAATGGTCGGTATGTTTTTGTAAATCATTAGTTCTTAGGTAGTCGTGTGCTGTGATGGTAGTGGTTGTAAATTCTCTGGGACGTTGGAACCCGTAAAAAGCGAGATATAGGGATGTTTTTATTAAGTTATTGGTCATGGGTTCAAAAGGAGACAAATCTAATAAGTTGGATAGAGAGTGGAATATGTTGTTGTCTATGGGTAGTCTTTGTTATGGAACATGTGTATCTAATTTTTTAATGCCTTTAAGTAATGTTTTTATTTGATATGATGTCAAGAAACTCGTAGTGTTAGGTTGTTGGATAAAAATATGGTGCTGGATGCCGGTAAGATACAGTTTAATGGTATTAAAGGATAGTTTAAGGTTAATGTGGCAAAAAGTGAAACTTAAAATCGTTTCTAACGCAAACATGTTGTGGATGTGAAACTCGGTGATAAATTTTGTGAATACGTGAAAAGCCCTATCATAAGTGTTCCTAGTGTTTACTCAGAGTGCCAGATGAGAAATGTGACGTGCGTGATCTAACAAAGTCTTTAATCTATTATCATGTCTCGGAATAGAGGTGCAGGTGTCGCTCGTCTGGAAGCGTTGGGTAGTGTCGAGAGGAAAGCCTGGAAACAAAACCGAGACAAGTGATCAGCAGAGGTGTTTGTGTACCCCGGAATGTGTATGCATGTTATAAAGAATTGACAAGTGGCCGCTACCCATGTGAGACGCCTTAGTAGTCTCATAATGACCAGTGATGCCGATCGGCATTTATTGACAATATGGCATGTATTATCTGAGTAGCACCTGACCGCGTGGCCAGACCAATATGGTCGCGAAGCAATGGCTGCCGCCATGATCGGGTACAACTCAAATAAAGCCGAGGTATCAGAGAATTTGGGTAGTGATTTGACTTCGGTCGGCCAAGGTCCCCAAAGCCATTGATCACCCCAGATGGCCGCAAAGCCTGTGTTAGCTGCGGCATCTGTTCACAATGTAGGTGAAGTGTCGGAGGGGGGTGGTATAAGCATGGTTCGCGCGTTCCAAGAGGTGAGAAAAAAAAAACACATGCGTAAATCCGAGGTTGCGTGTACATCTAATGTGATACGTGAAGTGTCTGAGGTGAATAGTGGAAACAAGGATAGCAGGTGGTATATAAATGATCTACCTTGGGGTATGATCCTCATGGCAAAATTGAGCGACCCAAGCAGTGATTGAAGTTCTTTGCAATGACCTTGTAGCAGGTAATGTTCAATACTTGCCAGGGTACGCTCAATCTTTTCCTGAGGTAGAGTAGCCTGCATGTGTATCATGTCTAGTTGGATCCCCAAAAATTGCATGTTGGTATCTGGAACCAAAGTTTTGTGAGGGGAGACAGGAATATTGAGAGATTCAAACACCAACACTACACGCAAATACACACCTGCATTCAAACTTCAACACTACTATAAACACACCTCTTTTTTTAAACAGCAAAATTATATATAAACACACAAGTGCAATTATAAACCAACACTACACATAAATGCATGCCCAAAATAATTCATACACCAGAGCCCTCTCTACTTTACGTCCGCCTTTGTGTTGGGGTGGGGGGCTTGATTGCATGCCAGGGAGGGGACGACAGGGTTCAGGGGGCCCAAACAAATATTTGCCCAGGGTCCAATCAATATTAAATATGGCCCTGCACGAACTGCATCCACTATACACACACACACACAGCATCCACTATGCCCACACACTGCATACACTATACACACACTGCATACATTATATACAGACATGCTCTGCAAACGTTATCCACACACTGCATCCATTACAAAATACACACACGCTGCATCCACTATACAGACACACAATGCATTCACTACACACACTGCATGCAATACACTGACACTGCAGCCACTGCACACCCTGCATCTACTACACAAATACACACTCTGCATCCACTACACAGACACTGCATAACATAAGGGATGTGGCCGTGTTTTCCTTGGTGTGTTTTTTTAGGGATGGGGGTGGGGTATGGAGGCAGCATTTCATCCTTTGACCCATGCAGCACAATGCCTTGGGCCAGCCCTGCAGCCACAGTAGGACTTCCTAAATCATAACGGGCCTTTGGTGTGGTAAATGCATGAGGACCTCCATTGTCAGATTTTTCCCCATATGAAAGCATTGATTTAGTGCTTTCCTATGGGGTGGTCTAATGCGCACATAGTATTTGCTGTGCATGCGCATTAGCCTCTACTCATCGCGGGCCATCGGAGGGGGCAGAAAAGGTAAGTAAATAAAGCGTCATTAACCCCTTAAGGACACAACTTCTGGAATAACATGGAATCATGACGGAATATTTCCGTCATGTGTCCTTAAGGGGTAAATCTTTTATTCCCCCAGGTGGGGTGGCGGAGAAGAGGGCATGAGGGAGGGGGGAGACATGGGGAGCTATAGTGTAAGGAATACAGTATCCCTTTAACACTTTTTTTGTTTTGTGAAATTTCAATATTTCAGGGGAAAACTGTCAGCACCATTTGCATGTCAGGAGTCATTCCATTTACTGGTTCCCCAAGTTCCCCTCAGCTCTTGGAATAATGGAAAATAATTGATAATATTTAGCATAATGTAACCCAATCAAATGTTTTTCCTCCTATCTACATAGTCACTGTATTAATAGATGAAAAGAGATTGATTATGGAATGTATGGCAAAATGCCCATAACAGTGTTTTTACCTGAATCCTAAAACAGCGCAATTGTGATTGTTATCTTTAGGTGGTGGAATTTTGGGAACTAGTTTTTAAAAAAGGATATTGCTAACGAAGAAGAGGATACATGACCATGACAACCTCAACTTTTTAAAATGGGAACTGTCACCTCTCTGGTAAATTTCTAATTAAAGGGACACTATAGTCACCTGAACAACTTTAGCTTAA